TTTCTGTATGGATAAGTGGTTGATATTTGAGGATGTCCTCTTAGAGAGATTATTTTACGAGCTCTTCTGTTTGATGCTGTACAATTATTTAGGGTTCCCATTTCTAAAATGGGTTTAGTAAAATTTTCCTGCATCCTAAGTGAATAATAATAACAATAAACCTTTCCCCATTGTTTAATAATGACTGTGAAACACACAGTTAATGCCATTCAGTGAAGTCTTACTGCATTTCCCAATCTAGCATTGTTACTTTTAGCTGTGGCAGGTAAGAACTAATGCTCTTTTCCCATCTGTATTCTATCTGGCATTCTAGTTTTAAATATACTATTTAAAAGGCTATTTTGAATGTAAGAATATACACAATATAGCTGCATTAGCAAGTCCTTTGATGCTGGAACCTGATCAGTGGCAGTGTGAATGTTGAGATTCAAATGTGGCAGATTTCTAACAATTTCATGCCAACTGCACATACTGGTTGGTTTTCACAGCAGCCACAGAATACCTTCTTGACAACTGCAAGTGCGTATTTGTGCTGTTTCGAAAGTAAAGACAAAATTCATAAATTCTCCAAATAAGAGGAAGAGCTCTGGGGAAGCTACATTTGAAGAAGCTACATATGAGTTAACAAGTTTTTAACCAGAGAAACAGATCTGTGTAATGAAGCAGTTAGTACAAAGGAACTTAATATCCGCGCTACACACACTTTAAGAGATTTTACTGTGGTCTAGCTCTAGTCTGTGCAGTGGATTTATGAAAGGGCTTTAGGTATACATCTGGAGCATAACTATTGGTTTTATTTCCTCTAAGGGTTGTCATTTTGCATGCTTTGATGCAAAGCATTTGATGTGATACAAATCAAAGTACACTAACCAGAAGCTGTAGGTTCCTCACTTAAAAAAAGCAGTCTTTGTTTGAACTACAATGTTAATATAGCTGCATCCTTGAGTAATAAAAGAAACGACAGGTTTTCAAATGTAAATTTGAAATTAACTTCTTGAGAAGTAACGTTGGTTACAAAATGGCCCCTCCTAGATTAATAGATTTATGAATTCGCATTCTCAGTCCTGGTAAATTACTGTATCTGTACGGAACTCGATAAGGTTATCTAATTTGCACTCTAATCTGTGGACAGTATGAAGTTCCATAGGTTGATAGTCACTAACAATATTTAGTTGGGAAACTAAACCATGGTTTAATGGAAGTTTGTTTTGTTTTGAAGTCAATTACCAATATCAATGTTGATAAGAAGATAAATTATCTTTTTCTTAGAAGCTTAAATAACTGTGAAAAGCTCAGCCATTTACACTTCAGTGGGTTTAGAGACATATTTATTAATATAATCAAAACACACTTTATATTTCATAGTAAAGTAGCCTCATGATAGAAAGACCTGTGAATTGAAACCATTTTTTCAAAAGAACATCATGCATGGAATGCAATCCAACTGTAATAACAGCAGTATGAGGCTTACATTTTCAAAATTAGTTATATAGACACTTTCCATTAACATTAATGGCAGTTATAAGTCTAAGGATCAAATGTTTCTTGTGTTAATTCTCTAACTGCCACTGATTTTAGTGATCTTAGATTACTAAATAATTTTTAAAGGCCTTCATCCCATAAGTTTTTAAACATATCCAACTTGGACTGAATTCTTATCAATACAATGAGTATCTTTGTTGGCACAGTTTTGATCTGTAGCTAGACAGCTACTGATTATATTTCTGCATGCAATGTACAGCAATCTCCTTTGAAGATTTAATTGTAAGTGCGTATTGTGCAGAGGCAGTACACATTTTAGAGGTCATTTTGTAGTGGTCAGAAAAAAAGAAAACTAACGAACTGAAGTAAAAATGTCATTTTTATGATTTTAGTGTCAGAGACGGAACTCAATGTACAAAAGGTTCATGCTTAATTTTTCTGAAGCAGAAGAAATGAGAGGCTTTTAGGCTTTTCATTTGTGTAGGTGAGAAGTGAAATGCTCCTCTCTGCTCACTGATAGAGGCATGCTAAGGTGAATTTTAATTATGACTAAATTGTGGTATTACTCTTTCATACCCTGAACATCTGTTCCCTTCAGGAATGATGATTTATGCAGGCTATCACTGCAGACAGCTTGCTACAGCTTATGTCACGGTTAGTAGGAAGCTGGTGGTAGTATTTCAGAAAATGCCAGCATCTACGTGGAGACAGGCCAGTGTGTATTTTTAAGGTAATAGGGACAGAAGTGTGTGATGCATCTGTTTTTAATTTTGAAGCCAAATATTGACTTTAATTTTTTTTTTTCTTTTTCTTTCAGACCATCAGACCATCATTAATGAAGAAAGTGTCTTGGCCAGTGATGGGCCTGGTTCTTCATCATGGTGTTAAGCAAAAGAAGACCAAGCCTGTCATTTACAACTGCATGTAGAAAATTATTGAGGAGCTCTCTGAAGGAATTTTAGTGTTTAAGAACTGCAGAGGGTGGGGTAACTACAAGACTATTGCATCACAAAATCAAATGGAAAAGGTAACCTTTGTTTATTAGCATATTTGAATGAATGCACCTCCAAAGTGCCTTCATTGTTAATGCAGTTTTATTGCTTTCATGTAATATAAATTATCCTTAAAAAAAACGCCAACCAACCCACCCCCCCACCAAAACCAATCAAACCAAAAATCCCAAAGCAGTCAAAAAATCGCTTAAATTAAAAAGCCTTGGCATTAAAAACAAAACAAAAGAAAAAGCAGGAACTATATATATGTTCAGGTTACATAAGGGAATTTTACATCTGTGCTCCCTTTTTCCTGACACCTCCCCCCCGAATAATCTGCTTGTCTTTGCCTAGTAGTCACCTTGCTTCTGATTATTTCTTTTTCTACTTTTGTGTGTGCTGCCTAACAGTACATTATCTGAGGATTTATTACCGAGGAACATTATTTCTCTATTATCTGAGGCATGGGTTATATATGTTTGAAAATTACCATGCTTGAAAATATGATCAGTTTTTATTGGGTTAGATATTTAATTATAAATGTTCAGAAGTTAAAATGTTTGCTTTAGAATATGACACTGTGACCATATAACAACGTATTTTAAAGTTACGCTATATAGAAGAATCTTTTTTCTTTTATAAGACATTTGAATACTTTCTTGCCAGTTCAGTAGGTTTTAGAAGAATTTATATGTTGTCATTGTTTTTAGGTAAGTCTAGAAGGCTCTATGTATTTGTCCCAAAACAAGTATGGTATATTTACTTTATATCACCTAATTTATATTATGACTTTTAATACTTTTGAAACCTAAAGCTGATTCACCTCATGGAATACTTTGCAAAGGTTTCCACTACGTGTAAGGAGTTTTGAATGCCTCAAATATTAACATGCAGCCCTTTCTGAATTCTGTAATCCTTTTTTTTTCTTAAGTCTATAAGATAATATGATTATTGTAGATCCCTTCCAAGTGTAATAGCCTATTCTATTGTAATCTAGTCTAGTCTAGTCTAATTTTCATCCACTAAAATAATACCCAGGAGAACTATATCTGGGTCCATTAATGAAATGTCATATATTTGTCAGTTTTCTAATGTTGCTTGTGATAGATGTCATCCAATTATTAGCAATATAGAACTAATATTATTACTGTCAGCATTGGTGCTAATAGATATCAAGAAATTGCATGCAAATGTGAATAATAACTTCTGCAATAAATGTTCTTAGAAACTATTGTCTAACTAGAGCATGCATGATACTTTAAACATGAGGATAATCAAAACATGTAGATCAGATTTGTACACTGAAGCAAAAAAGTTCAGCAATGATTTGTGAACACCATACAAATTCAATGGTTGATACAGTATTAATCAATCTTTGGGTTTTTTTTTCCACTTGGATGTCTTGACTTAAAACACTAATTATTAAACTGATATAATTGAGGCCTTATAGAGATATGGACTGCTTGTAAAGGGTATCCAAAAGTGACTGAGGCCATAGTTTTGAGCACATTTGTCAGTGTATTCCAGCACTGTTGCTAAAAAAAGGCTCACGATGTGTGCACTGTCACTGTAGGACTTCCTCTGCTCCCTGGACAGCAAAAAGGTTTCATTCCATCCTTCAGTGAATCACACAGGGAAGATGACTTATACCAAAAATAAACCAATTAAAATTATCAGCTTTAGTCTGGAATAGATTCTTGAGTCTGATTCACTTCACACTCAACTAAATACTTTTTCCAGCACAGGAAAGTAGATCACATGGGAGTGGAAAGAAACAAATGAATATGAAAAGCTGTTGGGAGAATTCCAGTATGTATGTCCTGCTTTGTGCAGGGGAAGGAGAACTAAGGCCAAAGGAAAAGCTGTATGTTTATATGCAACTCCCATTTGATTTTTATACAAGTGTCTGATCCTCCACTGAAGATGAATTTATAAAGGTCGACACCTTTAAAATAGATTAAAAATTAGTGTCTCGGGTATTAATGCAACAGTAATTACAAAATAAAAAATATTTGAAAACTTCAAAATGGTATTTCATCCAGACTAGTGATTGAAAAAGAAAACATATTTTGTGCTTATAAATAGAAAAATAAATGACCACAAAAATCGCAATACTCTGTCAGACTGGGATTTAATCTCATCCAATATCCTGTCTTTGAGTGGATTTCTAACGAAAGTGGAAGAATAAAGGCAGCATGTGGTACGTATAGTGCATATGTTGATAATTTCCTAGAATACTGCCCTCAGCTGAGACAATCCCAGTCACGGTGCAGTCAAATCACCACATAAACAGACGCAGAGCATTTTCCTTTCCCTTGAATACAAATATTATTTGGTATTTGAATGGGACATTATTCCTTCCCTTTGCAGCATCATTCACTTAACATGATTTTTAAAAAAGAAAGCACAATTGAAATGTGTTTTTTTTCTATATATAATAAGCAAAATGTTCAGCAGATTGTTGTTACTGTGTGAAAAGTGTGTTTGTTTCTCTGTAATTGGTTACTATTTCTTTTCAGACTTTTACCTATCAATGAAAAAGTGAGCCAGCTAGACAGAGTGATGTGAAGTCACCAAATACTAGTGGTGTCTTGGCAGGAAGGTCTGAAGTGCAACTGAAGGATGTTTGACTCTTTTAGTTCTGGAACCCTGACAAAAGTGGTAACATTCTCACTTCAGTTATGCTACATCTGTATCACTGAATGAGACAAAAAGGCACACTGAACAATTGCTATCACTGTTTCAGTTCTCAAAAAGGAAGATTTGCCAGACAGTACAATCTTCATGGTCTTCCTCCCATTTCTATTTAAATCACTGTACATCCTTCTGGTGGAAGAATTGCACATCTACCATTCAGTAATCAATACACTGATGTATATCAAATAGGATTCATAAATCATTGCAGAAAAATATTTTTTCCATGCTGAGAATGCCTATCCTTATGCAATTAAAACTGGCAAGAATAAGTATGTTTAGAAAATTTGCAAGAAAAGGCAAGGTAACTAGTGATTCCACACCCCCACCTCATTTGTTTTATATTTGAATCGTTATGAAACAGGTTTTCTGTCCTGCCAAAGTTTAAAAAATATCTAAAATACTGTTACTGAGCTAAGACCTTTCCAAACATTTTTTAAGACTGAGACCAGAATTTGATAGGGGAGCCCGAGTGCAGGTCTACTTTCCGTTCAGTTCTGATTAGACTTGAACCTTGTTCTTCCAAACCTGTTTTAAATGAGTATTTTCGGTTAGGCAGCTGTCTAGAAAGCTAAGGAACCTTTAGTTGTAAAGGATCAGATGCGACAATCAGACACTATTGGAGGACCCTGATGTCATTTTAAGAAACTGTTATATGTTTACAAGTTTTCCCATCTTCTCTTTTGCCAGAATTAGAACTGTGTCAGAAACATGGCATTTGGGCCTAAATATGGCAAACGTGTGAAAGTGGTCAAGTGGAGGGGAGTGTTTTAGCAATCATAAGATGTATGCAACACCCTCAGAAAATTCCATGTTTGTTTTGTAGAACAGCATTGAAGCTACTGTAATTACAGCTGCACGTGAGAAAAAGAGAAAAAAACCCTATCTAACAACCAAGGAAACACAAACCTTTATCTCTCAAGTTCGGTGAGCAGTGTCAGTTGTGGAATGTGGATTCTATTGAGGTAGAGATGTGTTTTTCACACTTGAAGATGTGTTATTGCAGTTGACCCTGGGATTTTTAAAATGGACACATCCCTCTTAAAATTTACAACGCTCATACTTTGGCTCTGTTTTCTCTATGAGTGCCTTGAAAAAGCTTAGGATATTCACCTGACTGATGGGTGAATAATATCATTTGTATTTTCCTCTTGCCTCTCCTTTTCAACAGTTCCATGAACAATGAATTTTTCCTGGTCAAAGTATTGTCATTTCTGTCATCAAAAAGTAACTTGTGTGCTATCTGTCGCAGACTTTCTTCCAAAGAATGACAGGTAATTTCTCTAGCATCATTTCAGTGACAGTTTCTGCTTTTATCACACAACTCCTGTAGTGATGATTCACCTCTTTCATAAATTTGGCATTCACCAAATAGTATTGCACAGTATAAAACCAGCTATTGTATATATTCCCAAGTATTATGATTTCTGTACAAACTAGGGAAAGGTAAGCTAAATAGTCAGTAAACAATTATTTTGAAGTATGTGTAGCAAGCGAATAGTATTTAAAAGGACGCTATCAAGAAATACATGTTTTAAGTTGAGATATGTGACTATGTTATTCAATCTGAAAACCTGGCTCAGCATAATATCCTAATAGTGGGAAGATTGATTCTCTAAATGATAGTTGTAATCCATGACTAGGAAAAATAAGAACAATGTGGACATGGGCAATAAGCATAACTTGCAATTTAACAGTGGGCACAAGAAATGGATAGTGATATCCCCTATTGATGCTGTACAGCAAGCCAAAGTTATGAAGTTTGGGGTGTGTTCTAAATGCTTCTAAAGCAGAGTTTCTAAATTTGCTAGCAGAATAAATAGTTATTTAGAATTAAACATTGAAACTAATACAAAGCCATGTATTTGTATATTTAATGGGAATCAGAGGTTAAATTAAGAACTGTGACATTTCTGGAGGTTAGCATATTTTTTTATTCAAAGCATAAATGCTCTAGTCAAAATATGCAGTTATAAAAGTGTAGTAGGGAAAATCAAGCCCATCTTTCTCTTCTGCCACACCTATTGTAACTCAGTTTTGTGCTAGTAGGCTATATGCTTTTCACTGTTAAGGAGTCTTTTGCTGAAGTCACTGGGTAGCTTTTAAGACATTGCTGTGTTACGTTGCTGTCCTACCATAGCCAGCTATGGTCTGTGAATGCACATTAAATACTTTTGCACAGCATATTTATCTGTTTGTGTGGCTAAACTAATTAGAATTGGTAACAGCTTTCTTTCTGTATCTTTGTCAATAAAGTCTGTGAAGTAGAGCATCTTGCTACATGTACATGTACAGTGCCAGATAGAAGCAGATTCATTCTTCACAATTTTTCTATTTCATTTTGTACTATTTCAGCTGGTAAAAAAAAACACAAAACATTTTGTGATACTGGCTTTTTCTTTTTGTCCCAGGAATAACTTGGAATATTTTATTTCTTGTATTTCTAGTAAGTTTGCATATATATATATGTTTAAGTCTATACTTGCCAATGTGTATAGTCATTACTGGAAATCAAAGAATTGACAGCTGTACTTCTGCACACATTTTACATGGGGTATAGACTACATTGCAAAGGCATTTGTTCTCCAAGTGGTAAATATTTATTTTATAGCTGTTCTGAGCATATTCATACTATGGCTGGGCTTTTTTGTCTTAAGGTATTTGTTAAAGAACTAGGTCTTAATTATTTGCAGTAAGATCTTTTGTTTTTTTTTTCAGGTTTTCAGACAGTTGCACATGGAGATGAATCTTACTTCTCCAGTGAGACACTAATACAATGAACGTGGAGAAAAAGTTGTCAGTGTCAAGTGGTAAGTAGCATTTGTAGAACAGGTTTTCTGTTTACTGCATTGAGGACTTAAAACTAAAATATGAATCTGGACTAATTTTTAGTCCTTTGCTTAGGTTGGTGCCCTTAAATTGAACTAAAAATGGCAAATAATAATTAAACTAATGAATAAAGTTATTTTTTTATGTAATTCTAGCATTTTAATATTTGCATAATTTTTCATCTTTTCTTAGTGATTGTGTGTCTTTTTTACCTGTAGGAACTTCCTTAGTCTGAGACTTTTTCTTTCAGTTTCAATGAGATAACACAGAGTTTCTCTCTTCTACTCTTGTATATGGTCTATAAATAAGACATCATTCCAACTCTGCTGAAGAAAAGTTATTTCTTTGAGCTTTCCTTCAGTGTTTTCTAACAAATAGCTATACCTTTATACTATAAATTTAATTAGGCATGTAAATATTTATCTCTATGACATCTTTTTCTTTATTCCTGAATATCTTCATTATGCAGATAGAAGATTTTTAGTACAAGGTTTTAAATAAATGAGCTTAAGAGCTTCAGACTCTAGTATTGCTAGTGTCTGTAAATAATTCTAATATCATGCGAGATGTGTGCAAGGAATATGTAGCATTTGTAAGTCATTAAAAGGAGACTTAAATTATTTGGGTTGTGCTCCTCAACAAATGTCTATGTAAGTAGCTAGATTATTTCTCTTCTAGTCCTAACCACTTTCTGAGAAGCAAATATGATTTAATCCCAGCTAGAAGTAGAGTTTTCAGAGGTTTTTGACCCTCCTTACAAGCAGATAGCATTCCATGACCACGTTTAAGGAAGAGAGAAGACTCTCTTTGTTATGAGCATTTTCTTGTAAATTCAAAGTTTACAGTTTCTTTCAGGTCAATGATATTTAAAAAAAATAATTCTTGATTATTAAAAAAAAAAGAATATAAAGAATGCTTATGGAAACAGTTGTAATAAGAACAGCATGATAGCCTCAGCTAAATATTTTCCAAAACTGCTTGAGGAGTTTACTGAGCAGCAACTAAAAACATCGGTGTTATCAGTGCTGTTCCCAGGCTGAAAGTCAAAACCATAGCACTGCACCAGCTACTAAGAAGGAGAAAAATAACTGCTACTGCTAAACCAAGGACAACGAGTTAGTACATTTCTTTCTAAACCAGCATTTAACTATAACTCAGTCATGATGAAACACTTTCCCCTGCCTTCATTGTGAACTCCTGTGACTACATGGCCTGTATGACAATCAACCCAGATATTTCAATCGCCTTATTGAATTAGGAAATATGTATTAATTTTCTTCTTCTTATAATAATTAAGGAACTTTTGCACATAGGAACAGCTTTTGGAAGAAGAATGTATGAATAGGCAGACAGGAATCCCATAAAGTTCAACAAAGGGAATTGCTGTGTCCTGCAGGTGGAGAGCTATAATCCAATCCGCCAGTATAGGCTAGGATAGGAGAGTAAAGATGGATTCTTATTCTTGTCAATAGTATTCATTGAATGGATAAGAAGTACCAGGCACAAACTCAAGTGCAGGAAATTTTAAGGAGGTGATCCTGCCCCTCTACTCTGCTCTTGTGAGACCTCACCTGGAGTATTGTGTGCAGTTCTGGTGTCCTCAAAATAAAAAAGGACATGGAACTGTTGGAACAAGTCCAGAGAAGGGCCACAAGGATGATCAGGGGACTGGAGCACCTCCCGTATGAAGACAGGCTGAGAAAGTTGGGGCTGTTCAGCCTGGAGAAGAGAAGGCTGCACGGAGACCTCATAGCAGCCTTCCAGTATCTGAAGGGGGCCTATAGGGATGCTGGGGAGGGACTCTTCATTAGAGACGGTAGTGACAGGACAAGGGGTAACGGGTTCAAACTTAAACAGGGGAAGTTTAGGTTGGATATAAGAAGGAAATTCTTTCCTGTTAGGGTGGTGAGGCACTGGAATAGGTTGCCCATGGAGGTTGTGAATGCTCCATCCCTGGCAGTGTTCAAGGCCAGGTTGGATGAGGCCTTGGGTGATATGGTTTAGCGTGAGGTTGGAACGACAGGGGGGTTGGAACTAGATGATCTTAAGGTCCTTTCCAACCCTAAGGATTCTATGATTCTATGATTCTAAATTCCACTTAAATGTAAGACAAAATAATGTACTGTTCAGTGGTCAAACACTGAATAGTTTTCCCAGGGGTGTTATGAAGTGTCATGCTTGCAACATTCAAAATGCCACTGGAGAAAACCCTGAACAGTGTGCTCCAGTATGACCTGTCTTTGATCAGGGAGCTGGACCTTGGTAAACTCTAGAGGTCTCTTCCAACCTAAAACTCATCCTGTGAACTTCCTGGGTAGACTGCAGAAATGCATCAGAACAAACTATTTTGAAGAATTCTAAGCATACTGTGTCAGAGAAAGTTTTCTTGGCCTTTTGTTGGCTGATTGCTGTCATTTCATCTGGTCATGTTTCTCTAATTGGTTCAACACTGAATATTTTGAAAATAGAGATGAGCATCTGCAAGTTACCCACAATTTAAAAAGCAGCAAACTTACCGGGTTTCCTAAAAGACTTCCACGCACTTGATACATGTCATCCAAAAGGTGGCACAGCTGCTTGCATAAGTGAGGGAAAACTTCCTTCCCAACAACTGTAGGCCAACAAAGCCATAATAAGTGTCCTGGGTTCAGCAGTAGCAGTCATGTTTTTCCTTTGTGTTAACTGGTGCAGTGCTGTGTTTTGACTTCTAGCTTGAGAACAGTGTTGGTGAAGCCGATGTTTTCGGTTGTTGCTAAGTGATGTTTACCCTGACCAAGGACTCTGTGAGGCTCATGCTCTGCCAGGGAGGAGGGGAAGCTGTGAGGAAGCAGAGACGGGGCGCCTGACCCGGACTAGCCGGGGAGGTATTCCATACCACAGCACGTCATGCCCGGGGTGGGGGGGTAACTGGGAGTTACCCGGAAGGACAGGGGCTTCCGGGTGGAACTCGCTTTCTTGGCCGGTGGTATCGTATTCTCTTCCCTTGTTATTTTCCCTTATCATTGTTCTAGCTGATAGTAGCGGTGGTGATTTGTTGCTGGACTGTTCTTGTCTCAACCCGTAGGAGTTGCACTCTCTCGATCCTCCTCCCCGTTCCTCTGGGAGCGGGGAAGGGGAGAGCCCCGGTGAGGGGGGAGGCTTGGTGAGGGGGGAAGACGGACACGGACCTCGATTGTTGTCAGCTCGGCACCACTCACTGGGAGTGAGTGAACAAGTTACCTGACTGGGTTTAAACCACGACAGACTGCTACTGCTGAACCCAGGACAATAAGTCTGACTAGTTAAAAAAAGAGCCTGACTGAATACTTAAATGTGGAAACTTGACCTCAGCAAAATTCCTCTAGTGCTAACATAAAAACAGGAGGAAAACAGTGGGAAAAACAGAAGTTTCAAAATGAGTTCTGAAGAAAAGTACCTTCTTCATTCATGATTGCTTGCTCTGTTTTTCTCATGTTGCATGGATTTAAGCCTCCCAAACCTCCTAATGACAAAACTTGTGCATGAACTAGATTGCTGTAGGCTTCCATTATACTTACATTCATCAGGATAAATATTAAACAGA